AGGTCCCGGCGCCCAGTGGCCCCCAGGCTGTGGCCGGAGCCCCAGTAGCTCTCTTGGAAAGTGGGGTTCCGATTTGCCCGCCCCTCGAGTGGCCAGGAGAGAAGACGACGCACCGGAATGCGCTCGGCGGGCGCGCGCCTTCCCAAGCGCGAGGGCCGCGCCCCGACCCCCCACCCGCCACCAAGGCGCTGTCCGCACCGCCCGCCGCCCCGCAGGCGTTCAGGCCCGAGGGCCGCCTCCCCAAGCCCCCAGGGGCCGCACCAGTGCCTTTCCTAAACCAACCCCTTGCCCACCCAGCGCGAGGACCCCACCCGAGGCTGAGTCCCCTGGGCGCCCTCTTTCCTCACATCAGGAACTGATAAATTATTGAAAAGACCACGGTCAGAGAACGGAAGGGATAGGTGTCTCAGAACCCCACGCCTGCCCTGGCTTCCAGAGATGGCCCAACTCCTCCACACAGCCACCTCTGCACCTGTCCCTCGGCCCCAACTTGGCTGGAGCCTCCTGCTCCAGCTGGGGCCGCACCGAGGACGGACCACACTTCTTCCAGAACACAAATTTATTTGGCATTCGGATGAAACGGTTCTCACAGCATCTTAAGAATTAGTGCCAACCCAACCAAAATAAACCCAAACTAAAAACCCTTAGTGAAAGGAAAACATAAACAGGCCTTGAGACAATGGCCTATAGACACCCACCCCCACCAAGCAGGTCAGCAGCTCTCACAGGAGCACAAGACTCTCAGCCAGGGCTGGTCGGGATTCGTATGACCACGGAGCACAACCAGATCTCATGATGGTTGGCTTAGGCAGAAGGCCGACCCCACCTCTCCCCTTGCTCCCCCACCCCCACCCCCAGTGGAGCTCAGCCCCTGGGGCACTAGCTCCTGGGGACACTGCAGGCAGCAGGCAAGGCCTGAAAACAGTGCTGCACGTGGGCTGAGCAACCCCGGAGCCCTGGCCTGTCCAGAAGCAGGCCCCCATCTGTGGCCCCCCCACAGCCTGATTCAGGCCACCCCCTTAGTGACTCCCACATGCCCAGCTGGCCCAGCAGTCCTTCTGTCCCCAAGGAAGTCCCCAGTCCCACACATCTAGTGCCAGCCGCCCTGCCCTGTACACACGGGTCTGAGGCCTGGGCCAGAGACGTGGGGGCTGGGAGGGACCCTGAGCTGTTGGGGCCAGGCCCCTCTGGGGAGCCCACTCCAAAGGAGGAGTGCTCAGGACCCTCACCTAGCACCAACAAGGCCTGTGACAGCTGCTCAGTGCCCAGAACACAGTGGAGGCAGGACACGCTTTCTGCTTTGTCTTCAGCAGCCAGTGCAGTCACTCTCCAGTCCCAGTCCTTGGCAGGGGGAGTGCAGGCCTGCTCGGCATGCAGCCTGCCTGTGTGGGGCCGCCTGCAGCACTCTGGCTCCTGTGGGCTGAGCCCCGGTCTGTGGGCAACTTGAGAAGCTCATGCTGCCCAGGGAAGAACAAAACGGTCCCCAACGGGAGACTGTGAGAACCTGTCCAGAAATAGACTGTGCCAGCAAGGCCTGTCACCACAGAGCACCCACTTCAAGTCATCCCCCGCTCACTGCTGGTCTGGGAGGGC